TCTGCACTGGAGTTGGGCTGAAGGAATCATTACATACTGATTCCAATCAGAGAGTGGTTTGATAATGAAATTTAATATAAAATTATATAAAAATAATTAAGATAAAAATGACTAAGATATATTTTAGAAATTTTTCGGCAGTATGTATAAGCTTTAATATTACAAGGGGTGATCAAATGAAAAGGTACGAAACGACACGGTGGGTACAAATGTACACTTTATTCAAAATATATACCATAGGCCTGTGCACAGCGATCCCACTGCTGAACAAGCCTCAGGATTCCTTGTTCCCAGAATTCCTGTGGTCTTGACGAGACCCAGTCCTTCACAGCGTCCTTGAGTATGTCGTCCGAGTAGAAGAGCTTCCCTTTCAGGTGGACCAAACACATGGAAATCGCAGGGCGACTAGTCCGGATTGTAGGGCGGATGGTCCAACGTCTCCCACTTGAACTTGGCCAGTTCCATGTGTGTGAGACTGTCGACGTGTGGACGCGCTTTATCATGGAGCAGAACCACACTCTCCGTGAGCAGCCCCGGTCTTTTGTTCTTTGATGGATCTGCGTAGGCGTCAGAGTGTCTAACAGTGCACATCGGACTTAATGGTTTTTCTGTGCTCGAGGAAATCGGATATCGCCTCGCTGCTCCTCAATCGTCGAATTTTGCAACGCGAACGCCATCCAGTCCTCATACGGACTGCCGCATCATTTGGACGCCGCTTTTCATAAGAGCCTCTGCTCTCTCCTGCTCATGCGGGCACCAGCGCATGCTCCGATCCCAGTTAGAGACTCCAATCGCATCCCGAGATGTCTCGCTACGTTCTCCCATAGCGGAATATGCAAATATTTAACTGTTACGTTTTTACGTCGTTTTGTACCTTTTCATTTGATCACCCCTTGTACTTAATCGTATTTAAAAAAAGGCATAACTACTATAAATAATTCTCACATATGCCTTCCTGCTGAAGGATTGATTCAAAATTATCTATTTAATTTTAACACAAATATATGTCTCTAAAAAATTAAGTTTAGCTTGAGAATCACAGAAATTAAGATTAAACCCTGCTCGTTGCATTCCCCAAACCCTAGAACTGCTTTTGTCGTTCCTTTTCGAATGACTTCGCAGTCCGGCTCGCTTTTTTTAATACCAGCATATTTAAGCCTAACTCTGTTTATAAAGTCGTACATTTAAAAAAAAAATTAAGTTCTGAAAATCTGGAACATATGCATCCTGTGAAACCTTATATTCATATGCGGTTCGGTGGGCCGGTACGAATTACGCACCCGGCTCCCACCGGCCACAGTTCTGACGTAAAATATCCTCAGTAGTAGACAGATAGTTGATTAGAGTCCCCTTGTCCCCTAGAGTCCCCGGACTAACTGTGGGAGGTTTTCCTCACCATGTCACGCAAATTCGAGTTTGTTCCACCAAAAAGTCCTCCACGAAGGCGATACAGTGTGTCTTTCAGGAGTTTCCTTGTCTTCTGGATTGGGTTCAAAATTACAAGGATACGGAGTTGAACATTAGTAGTCGTAAACCCAAAAGTGGGTCGACAACGGTTATAAAATAAAAATATATCGTAATGAAAATAAGCCGTCATATTTCAGGGATTAATTCCATCAAAAATTCCTCCACGAAAGTAAATTTTTCCCAGTACTTGATCCAGGAGTTCCCTCGTCTTCTGGATTGGGTTCAAAATTACAAGGATACGGAGTTGAACATTAGTAGTCATAAACCCAAAAGTGGGGTGGCTTTTCAACGACGGTTCTAAAATAAAATAGCTTAGCCAAGCACCGACAACAGTGCTGACGTAAAATATTCTCAGTGGTAGAGGGATGGTGGGTTAGAATCCCCTTTACGAAAAATTATCCGTGAAAGGTTTTCGTGTATTTCCTCTTGATGTAACGCAAATGCTGTTCCACGACGGCTAGCCTGTCCCAACGTTTGATCCAGGAGCTGCCTTGTCTTCTGGATTTTGTTCAAAATTACAAGGATACGAAGTTAAACATTGATAGTCTTCAAAAAACACAACCTATTTTCTACCTATTATGTGTAAAGGAAAATAAGCTCTTTTATAAAATATATCTAAAATAAAATTAAGACTAGAGGCGGCGGCAAATCTTTCAGAAATATGAGGGGGGAAATCTTTTTCAGGCCTACATTATTGTATTGTCACTCTTTTTATCGTTAACACCCAATGTTCCCCATTTATCAGCTTCCCAGCCCTCGAGAATATTAAATTTCGAAAAGGGGGCTGATCTGCTTACTCTTGATCCTGCATTCATTTACATGACCCATGACAATCAAAATTTCATGAAATGTTGTTTCCTGTTTTAATCGTATCGCATTTCTTTACTCAGAAAAAAAAAAAAAAAACGTGATTCGTATTGTTCGAACATCACTCATATTTATATCGCGAATATTTATTATTTTTGAAATTGGAACTCTAAAGAAGAATAAATAAGCTTTGTACCGAAAACATTTTAAATTCATTTAGAGAACGTATTCTGAACATAAATGTTTTTTTGAAAAGGATGAAAAATTATTGTGTTTCCCTTTGTAAACATTCATTTTTATAAACAATGTGCATAGATAAAATTTATTATGCTAATAAGATTTGGGATTAGCTTTCATTAAATTATTATCGAATTCTATTATAAGAAATAATTTTTAAGAATTACATATTTCAAAGAAAACATTTTAATTCTTATACTTTTTGTTCTTATACTATACTTTCGTCTTTTAATGTTCTAATGTCACCCTTTATTTCCAAAAATATTTATGTTTCTACTTTTCTGTAATAGTCGTGTGCAATTTGATAATTTTGTTTTTATCAAAAATGGGCTGTTGAAGAGTGTAATCATCCCTCTACGTGCAAGGATTTAATTTTCTTTAAAAATGTAAGTTCACGCATTTCATCATGATTTAATTAGCAGGTGGGGAAGTTTTCTTTTCTTTATTGCTATATTAATACTAAAAATTATTAATACTAAAAATTATTCATACCAAAAATTAACTCTTGTAATAGGTTCAATGGATAGCTTTCGATTCTATTGAGTTAAAGTTTGAACTTGTAGTTACCATTGCTCCTTCATCCACACACTTTATTTGAAAGATTAACTTCATTTTAAAAACTTTTAAAACTCGTGAAATATTTCTCGTTCACTAGGTTATTTAGCAATAATGCGAACATTTAACTCTTACTATTGCTTTATAATTTTAAACAGTTATTAAGTATTCATTATTTTATTTTCATACTTTGAGTGAGTTTAGTTATCTTTATTGGCCCCCCCTCTCTGCAGAATTTTTCTAGGCTTTCTGTGGCAAAACTTCTTAGCTCTTATGCATTTTTGCAAGATACTTTTAAGAATAACAAATATAGTTACTAATTTAAAGTAACAGAACTGTTACGTTTACAAAAAAAAGGAAAAAAAGAAAGAAAAATACAATTTGGATAAAAAAAAATTTTTGTATAATTTTTTTCATTGAATATGCAATATTTTTTTATAGTATGGTCGATATTCTCGCATTTTGTAGTGAGGTGGAGAGGGGGGGGGAGAAACACAATAATTATTTCTTTTTTCGCATTTTTGTAAATCATCATCACAATATAAAAAATAATTAAAAATCATAAAATCCAAAATCCGTAGCACTAACTATCAGAAATAAAAGTCACGCGAATCAGACTCTTCAAAAAAAAGGGATTACCGAATGCGTGTTTCGCTTCGCGATTCAATTGTTGTAATTAATAATATCGCATTAAAAATATCTGATTTTAAAAACTATGTGGCTACATTTAAATAAAATGTCGCCAAAAATATCTTTTTAAGTTAGCCTAATTAGAAAATATTCTAATGATTATAATATTAATATGATAATGCTGAAGTTTAAAGGCTGAAAGAAAGAACTCGGTGCATGTGAAATACTGCAAAAGATATGATGCAATAATATGATGGCGCGTTTTTTCAATCTGCGGCGTAAAAATATATCGGAAGCAGTAACCCGGAAGTCTTGAAAGAGCAATTTTACCACTAGCGCCACCACCCTTAGCTTTACACGATCACCCATCCATTAATAATTATGATATCCAAACATCAGAACAATGTCTTAAAAATATTTTTTTTAAAAACAATTCTTAGGAATTTCTTAGCAATAAATAACCGCTAAAAAAGCGATCGAAACAACATAGGATTTACAATACATTGTGAAAATTTGAGCGCATCAAAAACTGATAATTCAAATGTGCGAATTCCAAATTTTCGAAATTAAAAAAATAAATAAATAAATACTAGTTCGCCGTAAATCTACGTAACTATGTTGTCAATTCCGCAGTTATTGTCTTGTATTTCACAACTTGGTTTTTTTTTATTTATCTTCTTTATTTATGTGATGACAACTTGCAAAATGCGAAAAAGAAATAATTATTATTTTTTTCCCCTTAAAGATGTGTGAACATCGCCCATAATATTACAATAAATATTTTTCTGTGTGTTGATGAAAAGAAAATGAATTACATTAATTTACAATGAGAAAAATTATATTCTATATGTGTAGAAATTTTTTTTAAAATACGAAGTGCTGCTGTTATTTTGAATTGATTACACACATTCCAAATCAGATTGAAGCAGTCTTGTTAGTCAGAACATGGTCGGAATTTAATTAGCTATAAATTTTATTCCGCGATCAAAGGATGATAAAAATTGGCTCGTCGAAAACTAGCACTGCCATTCAAGGTGAAGTTCCAGAGAAGATTTCACTGCTCTAGCTAGTGGGAAAGTGGCCAATAAAATACATTTTTAGATATTTCAGAATACCAAACGAACAAAGTGAAAATTTATTGCAGTTATTATAAAGTGACCACACGTCCCGATTTTGGCGGGACAGTCCCGCTTTTTAGTGGATTGTCCCGCGTCCCGCCGATTTTTAAAAATGTCCCGCTTTTTAGAAAATATCTGCATTTCTTATTTTAAGTGTACTGTAAAAATATATTACCTATTATTTATTAAGTATTATGGTGAATATAAAGAAATAAAAAATACATTAAAAAAAGCACGTAAAATGCATGCAGAGTAAACTAAATTAGCAATGTACCGAGTTAGATTTACTCGGTGGTGTTCGATCATTGTCGTTACGTCTCGGCTTAATTCAGATAAGTGCAGACAGGCGGACTGCCGATAGACAGTGCGGTTTGTTGTTTTCAATTTGACTTTCGGTTTGACTCGATTCGATTGACGAAGATAGTGGTAGAGCAATAGTCGCTACAACGTAATGGCCAGAAAGGTAAAATTTAATACTCTTTTTTAGCCTTTGTAGTAAATTTTTTTATTTATTTCTAGTATTTACCCACAGAATAAAAGATGAGTAAAAAAAGAGAATGCAAATTTAATGAAGAGCTAAGCAGAGAATTTCCATTTATTAAAAAAACCAAAATAGACTATATGGTACGGTGTGATAAATGCAATGCTGAATTTTCGGTCTCACATGGTGGAAAAAACGATATTACTAAACATCTAGCGACAAAGAGGCACAAAAGATTTTTGAATAATGCCGCTTCCTCGTCTGAAATGGAACAGTTTTTTCGCACTGCTAGCTTTGGCAACACGGAAAAACAGCTAGCATTAGCGGAAGGGCTATTTGCTTTCCACACCATAAACCTTGATCTCGAAATCAAAGTTTCAGATCAATGAATTCTACGTCGCAAATGATCAAAACATTATACGACAAAAAATATGCATGTGCAAGGACAAAAACCGAAGCAATTATTTGTAATATTTTTTCACCATATTCGTTTTCACAATTGCAGAAAGAATTAGAAAAATGCGCATTTATATCCATGAATTCTGATGCTTCCAACCACAAAGATTTAAAATTATTTCCCACAATTGTTAGATTTTTTGATCCAGAAACAGGAATTAAATATAGAATATTAGATTTTGTTTCATTGCCGAGTGAAACTTCACAAATAATTTTTGATTCAGTAAGTACTATTTTAAAAAAGAAAAATTTGAACATATGAAATGTTACAGATGAAAAAATTAAATGTTGGTTATCTGCAAATGTGGAAACAGACAAAAAAATGGACCGAGTTATTCCTTCATTTTAAACAGAATAATATTCCTTATCAAAATATTTTGAAAATTGTAGAATTCGCGCTCTTCCTTCCAGGAACAAATGTAGCAACAGAACATGTTTTTTCTGGTATCAATAAAATATGGACAACTGAAACAACGCAGTTGAACATTAAAACTTTAAAAATCTATTTTAAGTGTAAAATATAATTTGACCAATTCATGTGAAATATTTCACGACATTTTAATAAATGATCCGAATCTATTGCTAAGTATTCACTCAGATCAAAAATATGACCGTGAAAGAAAATCATAATTTTTTTTAAATAAAAAATTTAATTTGATTAAAAATCATGATGTTCAAATTATTATTTTTTACAAATATTTTTATAGTTACCAATAATTAATAATAAATACATTTTTGTACAAGTATATGAATGTATACAATAAAATATATATAACTAAATTGTAATTCTCATTTCATCCCATTTGTCTCAATGAAAATGTGGTCACTTTAAGTTATAATGAATCTTTCATTTAAAAGAAACCCATCTGTGAATATTTTGTTTGTTATGTAATTTTCCTACTTTAAAAATTGTGAGTACATGTAAAGTTTCTTTGATCTTCATTTGGTTTGTCGACTTTGAAACTTTGTTTCCAAAAAAAAAAAAAAAAAAAAAAATGGAATTTGAGTTGTTTTTTCTTTTATGCTTATTTATAGCCAAAGATCTTTGTGGGTGCCTCCTCCTCCTGATAGATTTGAGACAAAGCCTCACATGAAAAGGTCTCCAGCCTCTCTCGATCATGTGCCACGATGTGCCTTAAACCCACAAGACAGTGCAAGCACAGGAAATTCTCGAAAAGGTGACGGAAAACCTTTCTCTCGATTTCCTGCCAACCGAGGCTCTGGTAGTGGCCACTCACACAATGTACAAAGGCCCATAAAGCAAGAGGTCAGTTACTTCCTCCCATATGTTTTTTAAACGTAAAACATCAAAAATCTAGTAAATCCAAGATTTTGCTCTTAAAACCTAGCTTTTACGAAAGAGGCTTGGTAAAAGTCTGAAGTATGCTTTAATGTAAGATTTTGTGGCAGAACCTGAGATTTACCCGACTTAGGGTTTTTATATGTCAGTTTATTTAAAGTACACTTCATTCCAGTTCCATTTTTTTTTTCTTCTGAAAAAAGTTTGCATTTCTAGCTATTGCCTTGATTTAACTAATAAAATATAAATTGCCGGTAGCAAATCTATGGACAGAAGTAGCATGCATACTAATTACAAAGTTAAAATATAATTTATTAAAATTTTTTATTATGATGATATACCTGGCATCAATCTAGTTGCAAGAGTTTATTTAATAAAATAAAGCAAGTGTAATTCCCTTGCGCAAAATTCTCTTGTCCTCTGACGAAAAAAAAGGACCACCCTGAATAAGTTTTGATGTAATGATCAGATTTTCTCGTTCTGGGACTCAACCTTAATGGTTCAAGGGGGTGACCTCAAATATGCTAATTGATAAGCGAAAACGATTTTTTTAAGTTACGAAATCAGGTGAAAAAACGTACTTTCTGTGAATAAACATACCTTTCTTTTGAAGAATTCGGATTTCTGACCCCCGAAATATGAGGGGTAATCTAGGAAATAGGGTCCCAATAGTTTGGTCAGGAGAGCGCTGCAAAGTTTGGACTGCTTAATGTTAATTTTGCTTTTTGCATATTTCACTATATCTCAAAAACTTTTTATGCTAATTTAAAAAATTTTTGACACACAATTACAAAATTCATTTGTCCAAAAGTAATTCCACACAAAAAAATTTTAAGTAAATATTTATTATTTAATATTATTTTATTTAATATTGGTCGAAAAAATTTTGAATTGTAAGGTATAAAATTTTGTGCATCATTTTGAAGAATATAGTTTTACGTGGCAAAAAACAAAATTTGATCAAAATCGGTCAATAGTTGCTCAGAATTTAAATTTCTGACTTTTTTGAAATTCTATTTCTCAAGAACTATTCGACTAATTTTGCGCAAATTTTGCATTTTCCTACATGAAATTATAATTTCTAAAATTATGCAAAAAATTGTATACCTTTTACAATTCAAAATTTTTTGACTGTTCTTAAATTAAATTAAATGAAAAAAGAAACATTTACTAAAAGTTATTTTTTGCACTGAATTATCTTTGAATAAGTCCTTGAAAGTCTTTTAATTCGCTTAAAAAAAGCCCAGGATGCAGCGAAATACACAAAAAGTAAAATTAACATTAAGGGTCTGAACTTTGGAGCACTCTCCTGACCAAACTATAGGTGATCGCAACACTCGAACACACCACCTGGGGAGAAGACCAGTTCCATGCCTTTTGCCCTTCTCTCTTCTCCTCTTTCCAGTTGTATAGGAATGTACTACAATATTTTTTATTTTTCTTTATGTTTTTCATTTTAATTTAAAATTTTTTTTTTCAAATTTCCATCAGGCTTTCTTTTAGAACTATGTTTAATGCAGTTTTTAGTTCCATATAGTTTCCCAACTTAAAGGATTTTAATCTATATGAAAATCAAGACAGAAACTAACGTACTTCCTTCTTCTATGACTCTCCACACGCTCATGGTGAAAGCATGAGAAGTGTTGCCGTAGGTAGAGAGTTCTGCTCTACGCCACCAGTAGTCCATTTCAATTGGGACCATATATCCCTGATTGCGGCTATTCCCTATAATTTAGGGGTCAGAAATCTGTATTTGTCGAAAAAAGGTATGTTTCTTCAGGGAAAGTACGTTTTTGTGTTAGATTTTGTAACTTAAAATATCGTCTGCACTTATTATATAGCATATTTGAGGTCACCCCTTAAACTGTAAAGAATGAGTCCCATAATGTGAAGATCCGATCATCAGATCAAAAGTTATTATTCAGGTTGATCTGTTTTTTATTGTGCACACTGACAGCAAATTAACCGTTTGACCGGTAATTTTTAACAATTATAAGTGCAACGTAACAATTAACTGTTGCACGTATAAGATTATTATAAAAATAACTTTATGTACGTTACTAGTTTGGAAGTGTAATGATTATTTTTCAATTATTTAAGTAAATTTGTATCAAATTCCTAGCTACTTTAGATTATTGGTTAATGTGCAAATAACTTACTGCATGCATGTTACATGAGATAAAACTAAAGCAGAGTTTTAATTATTTTTGTATTATTATCATTGTAGTGAAGTAATATATAAATAAAATCATATTTAGAAAAAGAAAAGAAAAACGATACCTTATCACGGGTGTTCCTGTTTCTTTAGCTTGAGTCTTTCACTCTTCTATCCACTCAATCAAAGACTGCACACGCATCTGGAGAAATTTAGCTGCTAAGTGCCTCACAAGGAATATTGTATTATAGATACAATATGGATCATCATTTTAAAATAATTCAAATAGGATATTTATTTTTTGTTTTTCAATTATTATAACTCATTTCTTTTAGAATTAAATGCCTTACTCTTCTCTTTCAGTATTAAAATGACTTTTTGTAAGATAAATTGAAACCAAATTCGAAACGTGTTACTGATGGACGCTGTACAATAATGTTAAAATTGCCTTTTGTTATTCTTCGACCGTCACTATGTTGATCAACATTAATCATGTTCTGCTAATTGGGAATCTTATCAATGTCCAAAAACTTTAATCTTTATGTCAGATATTAAGTATAATTTGAACCTGTATCATCTCTCAGGCATAATATCCATATTTAAAACATGTCATCTGTAGTAAATATCCAAGACATAGCCTAAATATCCATATCTAGAACTTGGATATACCTGGACCTCATTAATCGCATTGGCTGGATGTGCAACAGAACACTAGCCCTGCTTAACAATTATGGGATGAGAAAGAGAAATGGATGTCTAGCCTTATTTATCTTTTTACCTAACATTGATGCCCACAGTTAAATGTTTAATATTTACTATTTGAAAAGATAAAATATATGCTAATTCCTTACTAATGACATATATTCTGACAATTCTGCTTCCCAGACAAATTACTAAACAATCATTAAGAGAGGTATAAACAAAGACCTCTAAAGCAAACAAACCCTGAATTTTGACAAGTAATGCTGCCGCCGCCGACGACCGACAGAATGTTACAAGTTTAAAAAATATAAATATTTTTTTCTTACTCAGAATGATGCGTAAGAGTTTTAGCACTTGTGTTCCAGTTTAATGCGCATAATTTAATCATAAATAATAGCAAATATACGTACATACATTAAATGTCAAAGTTGGAAAACTTAAAATCAGGTTAAAAATCTGAGCATATTTTACACAAATTGACTTATGATAAACTATTAGAAAAAATAAAATTTATTTTTTTCAATAAAATTTTAACAATATTCCGCTTAATAACAATTGTTTGCAAATTTGCTTATTGGTTTGCATTAGCAAATAAATATTGTTTTGCAGTTTTTATGCTTTGAAACTCTTGATTAGTTGCGTGTATTCTCTCCAATATTTCTTACTTATCATTATCGTTTTTAATCTATCAGTGGACGAAGGCATTAATTCAGATGTTAAAAGAATTGAAAAATGTTGGCATGAGTGTTCCATTCGATATACCCATCATAGAATTCCGAAAGATTTTCAACCGAACAACTTTCTTCTGAAGGGCCAATGTTCCCGTTGGAAACCCTGTTAGACAAGCCTTCCTTATTAAATCGAATTAACAATATATTTTAACTGTTCTGTAGAAATCAAATTCAGAGTTTCCAGAACATTTATTTTTGCTTTTGAAATATCTTGCAAGCTACTGGAATGAAAAAGTAATGATTTTCTAACCAGTTGTTTATTGTAGCGTTTTTTTTTTAAAAAAAAGATCAGATTATTCCAAGATTCAAAGGTTGATTGCTGGAAAAAATTTTACTTTCAAATTTAACTCCCATACTTTATTATTACTGTTCCTGTGCTTTCCACATCTCACCACCCTTCTGATTTTGACTCTGAGGAGAAATTCCTTCTCACAGACAAAAGGACGATAAGATACGATAGAAATAATATCAAAACAAAGAAAAAAAAGTACAAAAAACACAGAAAAAGTTTTTGTGAGTTTAATAGAGAATTTTTTTTTTTTTTTGATTTCTAATAAAAATGTATAAACCAAGATTTTCTTAAAAAGGGTACTGTAAAATCCAGAAGATTTTAATATTATTCGTATAGGTGATCTTCATGGACCAACAGAAAATGACGTAGGAACTGAGGTTCCACTGTAATAACAAGTAGTACATCAAACTTAGATGAAGTAGAATTTTCCTTTTTTTTGTTGTTTAATTTTTTCTTTGTTATTGCAGTATTCCTCTGCTCAAGAGTGGAATAGCACATTTGACAACAGCAATACTTCTTGGGAGAGTGAATGGCCCCCTCCTTCGAGTTCTCCTTTTGCCAAGCAACCCCAAAGTGGAGGAGGTTATTACAAGCAAAGAAGCACACCTTTATCCTATCATTCCTCCAGCAACGACTGGTCTACAGGTGATTCATCTACCAGTAGTTCTGCTCCATCAAGTTATGGTGGTATGTCTCAGCAGCCAGCATCAAGTGCCTCTTACTATGAGAACAATAATTTCTATGGTGGTTACAATTATGACTCCAATAACCCAGGAGGTTATATGCAACCTCCCTATAGGAGCTCACACCATCCATACCATCATCCTGCTGTGAGGCCATGTGATCCATACAATGGCAACAGAAATCCGTCCAGTTGCCCTCCATCTCAAGTGAAGCAGCCCGATTATAGTCAACGAAATTCAAGATATGGAATGGATAACACTTTCAATAAAATGCAAGTGAGTATGTTTTGTCTTATCAGTAAAAAAATCTTCCGTGGTTTAGTTAAAATATGTTCAGTGTGAAACTGATAAACAAAGCAACCTGACCTTTTGTTGATTGACACCAAGGATAAACAGCAGTGGCATCTGGCTAGTGGTCCGTACGTAGAGAAGTGAGGAACTGGCAGAAGTAGGTGATAAACAGCAAACCTTTTTTGTTTACTTCCACTTCAAGGTTTTGCTACAATATCATGTAATATCAAAACATTGGTTGATACCATTCAGCAGAAAATTATGCACTTGTAAAAAATAAAAATAATATTAATAACTTTTCTTGTGCTTGTCACTCGTCAGATTTGTTAAAAGGAATATAAGAGGTTTAGAGCATTTAAAATTCTATTTTAAACTTATTATTTAAAAACATATTACAATAAAAATAAATGGTTTGAAATTTTTTAAGCAATAATAAACTGATACAAATTTGAATTTATTGTTTTTACTGCCAAAGTGTAATATTGTTCTTTTGATCTAGATAAAAAAAGAACCTGAAGACTATGCAGAAACAGAAGGAGATAATTTTACATCTCTTTTTACTAAAAGCTTAACATCCCTGTATTCTGAGGATCCAGATAATGCCTACAGGGAAGAAGGCAAATCCTATGAACCAGATATTATTGTATGCTCACCTACCCCTCCTACTATGTCCAACATGGAGGAGTCATCAGCTAACTATCAACGACTGGCGCCATCTAGTGGGCATTACAACTCCAACCCTGGAAACTATCAAGGGCCAAGAAACAATAATTTTTCTTTCTATGAAAATAGAACTCAGAACTCTGAGCATTCTGCAGATGTAGTTGAACTGGGTTCTGAAAGTGAACGAGCTAATTCATTTAGGTTAGTATGAATTGAATGTTCAGCTGGGAGAATTAACACGAAGAATTATTAATCATTTGTTCATAACCAATTTTTTTTTTAAAAAAAAATTGTATTTTGAGTACCATTCTATTAAGTATTCCTAGGCAAAACATTGCTTTTATTTGGAAATTTAGCTTTTTGGTTAGCCTAGTCAGTATGAATCAATTCATATAATTAATTTTTATTGGATTCACACACCTTCCAACATTTGAGGATTTTGCATAATAGTGGTTGTGAATTAGTGCAAAATGTTTTAAAACGAATTTAGTTTTTAAAAAAAATTATCAGATTTAAGCACTATTATTTTTCTATCTAGCCATTTTTATATCTGTTTAAATTATTAATAATGTAGTGATGATCAAAGTTATTTTTAATTCTAATTCAATGAAATATTAATCTTCGCTACACCTAGAAGAAATATTTTCTATAACTACGGAAATTCCTACTGTAGTTGGAGGGTATGGATTCTTTTTATGTCAACTAAAAATGTTCATTTTGTCAAAAACTCACAGAATCTATTTAAATGGGAAAATATGTAAAGGTCAATAGAGGCTATACACTTTGATAAAAGTCAATTTAAAGAGGATTAACACATTACTTGCAGAGATTTATTTTTTAAATGAAATAGAAAGCTGACATGCTCTGTATGCATACTTGATTTAAGGTGGGAATTTTCTGCTTTTAGAACGTAAAAGTACTTTGACGCAAAATATAGCACATAACCTCCACTGAACTTTGATGGTACAGTACAGAACCCGTTATCCGGAAATCAGAAAACCGGAAAACCAAAAAACCGGAACAAAATTCGATAAATTTTCCCGCCATTTAAAAAAAAAATTTTTTTTTTCCTCTTAAGATTTTAGGATTTTTCTTTCTTTTTTGAAAAATTGTTTACCTACCATCATTTTGGAAATAATTATTAGTATATTACTTCATCATTTTTCTTCTTTTTAAGATTATTTCCAAATATTTTTTCTTCAGTTGGGTTTAACAATAAAAAAACGGCTTTTTGAAGAGATTCAGAAAACCGGAAAAATCAGTTATCCGGAATAGCGATGGTCCCGATCGTTCCGGATAATCGGTTCCCTACTGTACTATCTCATAATACTGCATGAATTGAACCAGGGCTGCTACCTTGCAAAAAAAACTGAAAATTAATTCTCCATTACTTCTCTAAATCAAAGTCACTATTCATCATTTTCTTATTTGTAATCAATCCTGGGTTCAAGTAACTCTGACTTGAGGTACATAAATTAATTATGAAAGTTTCCTTACATAATTCAGTTTTTGCCTTTCTATGAAATTCACTTGCATTCATGAAAGTGGTTGTTAATTTGAAAATTGTAGTAATATTAAATACAATATTTTTCAGTTGTTCTTTTTTACATTAATTTTTTTGGAATGAAGTCATGTTTAATTGTGTTCTAAAGGTCTTTTTTTGTAACTACATTGAAAACTGTGTATTTTTTTAGGTATGACAGACCCTCATTTGATGATATGCATTTGTATGCTTCCCCTAATGATACCAAAAATCAGGCTAAGAAACGTAAACTTTCAATGCCAAATATTACTCCTGAAACAGATGGGCGTAGAAAAGCTCCACGTTTGTCATCATTTAAAAGTGATTCACAATGGACACCCAATTCATTCATATTTAGTGATATTCAAGTAAAACGAGAACCAGAGGATGATTATCCAGTTCTTGAAAAAGAATCCCAAAATAATAAATTGTTAATGCAAGATAGCTCATTAAATAGTAATGGAAATAGCAATAATAAAAGTCCATCACAGCAATCAGATCACAAACCAGCGCCTAGAAAAAGAAGCCCTGCAGCCACTTGCTTTGATCGTTTTGAAAAAAAATCAACTCCAACCAATAAGAAGGTGTCTCCTTTATCTCTTTATGCCAAAGTCCAAGATAGCATTGTTTTAAGTGTCAAATGCAGGCGTTACAAGAAGAGAACAAAACCCATTGTTAACAAGGAAGAAGTTGTTTATCCTGGTAGGGAGGAAATCGAAAACTGGAAAAGAACTGGAGCCTATAGTCAAACTCCTGACCATGCTGTTCGTATTTTAATGGGAGAGCTCCTAGAAAGAGTATCTCAAATTGATGGAAAGAACATTACTAATGGACCAGACTTAATGCAGCTGGATCCCCTAAAAGTTCGGGAATTAATTTTTCAATTTTGTCAGAGGTACTCAATTGATTTTAGGGACTTTGAAGATATTAATACTGTCTTAAAGCCTCGAATAGTTCAAGATAAAATGGCAAAAAACTCAGAACGGGCTTCCGCCATCCGAAAAAGGACCAGTAATTCTCCAGTTCAGCAAGAAGCTAAAGAACTGGCTAGTAAAACGACGAAAACAGAAAAGGTTGGCAGGAAAGCTAACAAAGTGGGTCTTAAACCGACGGCAAAAAGAATTTTACGAAACTTACCAGGTCGAGAGCAGTTACCAGAAGAAACACTGGAGACTGAAATTAGACAAAGCCGTAAGCGTACTAAGACTCCCGTTGTTAGAAGGCGGTACTCTACAAGAAGCGCCAAAGATATGAATAGTAAAGATAGCGATGTTGATATTGTTATAGATTCATCTACAGATGGTGAGAGCGAGGCCGGCAAGGAAGCGGAAGTCCCAAAAAAATCTGATAGACTTAAAAATAAGCAACCGGTTGTAGAGAAGCCGGCCAAAGATAAAAGCTCTGATAGAACGGTAAATGTCTTTAAAGAAATGAAAAAGATTGAATCCAATTCGAAATCTAAAGAAAAAAGTAAGGAACGTGAAAAATCTAAAGACTCTGTTAAATTAACTCCAAAAAAGAAATGGTCACGTTCTAATAATGATTCCCGTGGAATCTTGCGTTCATCTTCAATTGAAATTGTTGACATTACAAGAAGTGATTCTTCAAGTCCCTCTGAGCCTAATAAAGATGTGGATGAATCACAAGTTTCATCAAAGCGCATGAAAAAGTTCAATAGGAAATCTAGAAACTCATCAACAGGGTCTAAGGACTCATCTTTAAAATTCATTGACAAATCTGGTTTGGATGGCTCCAAAAAGCAACCTAAAGATCAAGATAAAAAGCTTGAACAAAATAAAAGTCGATCGCAAAGTGGAAATAGCATTAAGAACAAAAATAATACTAAAAATTCAAAAGACTATACTAAATTAGTGAGCAATGATGTATCAAATTGTAGTGTAACAAGGAGGAGACGATTTAGATCATCTAAGTTTAATGAAATTGAATTTGATATATCTAATAGCAGTTTGAGTAAGATTTCAAAACAGAAAGAATCCAAATCAGCAAAAAATAACGAAATAAATGTTGCAATAGAACATAAAACAGATAGTTCTAAGATGAAAAAAGAAAATCAGCAGCCTGATATTAATAAAAAAACTAGCAATTCTCTTCATGCTAAAAGGAAAAATAGTGATGTATTATCTAAATCAAAAAAGGGATCTGAAAATATTGGAGAAAGTGACAAAGTAAAGAATTCTGTTCGTCAAAACAATGCATCAGAAAAAGAAACGACAAAGAATGAAGATGCACAAACTTTAAATAAAAATCTCAAACTACCTAATACAAAAGCTGATAATTCTAAAACAAAAAAGTCCAATGATGATGATAGGGACAGTTCTCATGATGACATAAAAAATACTGATAAAAAGGATTTGTTGGAAAGTGAAGCAACAGTGAATGGGAAATTGAGTGCCTTGTCAAGGAGTAGCAAAACAAAACCATTGCAAAAGCAAACTGATGAACCTTCAAATGAAGTTGATAACTCTTCCTTTAAATTAGTTTCTAAAATTAAAGAACCTTTATCTTCTGTTTTAAAAGAACCAAAACATATTGTGTTTTCAAACAAAAGAGGAAGTAAAGTTGTACAGATAGCAGTTAATAAACCTGATATCATTAAAAATTCATTTTCTGAGGATACAGAAAACATTAATAATGAAGACAAGGCAGCGAAAAACTCCGCTCAGTTGCAAATTAAAAAATTAACTCGAAGACAAAGCTCTCAACATTCTGATTCTGAACCTCAGGTAGTTCTTATGAAGTTACCCGATGTTCACATAAATTCAGAGAAAAGCACTATTCCACTTGAGTTTTTTGAGCGTTATGTTTCAAAAGAGATTAATAGATATTATGTTCCAGAGGAAGTCAAAAGCAAGAGTTCAGATGACAATTCTAGTGTGGGAAGTCCACCAGAATTGGTGTGTATGGAAGATGTGTGCAAAGATGTCAAGGCGATGGAACAAGACAAGTGAGTTTTTTTTTTCACAAAACAATATCTATTTCATGTTTATGTAAGCATTTGGAATGTTGTGTTTAATACATAACTTAAGCTGATTTCATTTGAAATTTTCAAACTTAATTTTTAGGGTTGTTGAAGTAAAAAGTAGACAAATGTATCAAGTATACAATAAATCCATAATTGGAGATTATAAAAAAAGGCAAGAGTGCAGTGCAAATTGCCTGTAATTCAGTTTACAAGAGAGCATATGAAGAGAATTTAAATTCATGCTAAGAAGGAAGGGTTTATTACAGAACAATATGAGTGACAATGATTTTTGGTGACAAAAAGTTATTGTACCGTTCTTTTACTCAAACAAAGTGTTGCACAGATGTCATAAATTTTACCTCATGAATTCTCATCAATTATTTCATCAACAACTGCAATGAATACATGGGGGATGTCATTTGACTGTCCTGGGTCTTGACTGATTTAATTTTAATGTGCGTTGTTCATGAAAATCTTCACACTTTATATTTATAGTTATTTGTCTTAAACAGTGCTTGCCAGGAACAATAAATGTTGGCATCATGCTCACCTTCTATCACTAAAAATCATATTACTGTTTAAACCTGTACATCTTTTCATGACTTTACATTAACTTTAAATGCTCTTATGTGAACTGGTCAGGGGTCGCATTCCCCCTAAAATTCATAAAATTCCTAAAAGTATGTGCAAACCCTAAAATTCCTAAAAATCTGATAAAATTTTGTTGGTGTTCCTAAAAAATTAGTTATAGGCTAAATATAAATAAAAAAGCAATAATCTAAAATATAAGAAATTAACTACGTTAATTAAAACTGTTTTAATTTTGCCACATGGGAATTCTGATCCTGAGAGAGGTTTTTCGATAAATAAAGCAATGCTTAATGTGAGTCACCATGAGTATACTATTATGTCGCTTAGACTAATCAAAGATACCATTCGAAATTATGGAGGAGTGTTGAAGATCACCACAACACTATTGAGGGCAGTAAAAGAATCTCACAAATCATATCAAGAATATTTTAGAAAAATGATCATGATTAATTTGTTTTTCTCTAACTTCTAATATAAATTGCTGATTTGAAATCTAATAATATCACACAATAGTTTTTCTTAATAAAGTAAGGTAATAATAAAGTTTTGATTAAGAAGGTAAAAATTAAATAAAAATCCAAGTTGGTGTTAATTTATTTTTTCTCTTGATTTATTCTCACTTTTGCCTGTTCCTGAATTATGCACTTAATTTCTGATAGGTAATATGTAAAGTTGAAATTTCATTTTTACACTTTAGAGATTTCATTCTTGACTTAATAAATTTCAGAGCTTTATTTTATGGCTTACAACTATTTATGATATGTGTGGATGAATTGTAATAATCTTCTGTTATGTAATAAACTACCGTGTGATCTGTTTTTATCCTAGCAAAATCATATATTACCCCTAAAATTTACCTAAAATTTTTTGAAAAAAGTTCCTAAAATTACACTAAAATTTTAAAAAACTTTGCTGCTACCCCTGACTGGTTAATTAGTTATACTCAATTTTCTTTGTGCTTCTGTTATCTCAATTTACAATCCTGAATAGTGGCGCTGCTGTTGCTACTTTGTTTTTGATACTGACGTACATGTTCATGTCCACTTTTCATTTCGGCAACCCTTAAATATTAGTATCCCCAATTTTATATTTTTAAAAAAAATCAATATCCATTTTTTTAAAAAGCAAACAATTATATTATTGTTTTTTTTTGTTGCTTTACAGCATATCTAAAATGAACTTAGACCAAAAAGATGAATTATCATCACCTCTTCCTCTTATACACTGCAATGAACCAATAACTTCTGAAAAGAAAAAATCTAACAAAGGAATGACACCCATAAAGCAGCTGCGTTATTCAGCAGATTCGGAAGATTCAGATTATGGATTGGTCATTGATTTAGATAGGAGGACTTCTGTTGAGGAAGAATGTAAGTTTTTCTTCATCTCTTTATGACTAAAGTTAAATAATGTGCGGCTTTCAGGAGAATTCCTCCAGACATCTGTCTTGCGTTGTGGCAGATACCATGGTTATGAGGAAAAGTTACTTCGAATAGGGTTGTAGGGTAAAAATAGTTTTGTTTGATCTTGGCATAGGTCAGTGTGAGAAAACCAATCCACTCTTTCATTCCTCCATTGCACCCCTATTAGAAATATTCTCTTGTTACCATAGCAGCAGACAGCTCCAGACTTCTAGACTGGAGGAGTTCTCCTCAAAGCCGCACTATACTGTACATGCATTGATAGTAAACATTAATGTTATTAATTCTTTGTTGAAACTATGCTTTGCTAAAACTTATAAAATAGTTTTTTTTTAATCATTGATATTTTATTTGTACATACACTACTATGTTGTTAATAAAACTGTAGATATTTCTAGCACCACTATCTTAATTTTATACATGAATTCACCTGTTGCTGAATTAGTTTGGTCATCTGTAATATTAATTTTGCCCACTATTTTTGCTCAGTAGTAAAATTTTTTGTTGTTGCAATTTTCATCTTTTTCTATTACATTGCAGTATATTGAATTAAACTTGGCATCAATAACAGAAGGATTGTGCTTTTTCTAGAGATGCATGTCAATATAAATTCTCAAAAAATAAATGCCTGGCTGATGCATTAAAACTATAGTTATTGTCAAAATTTTCAAAACTTTAATACATTATAATTTTTTATTACAAAGATCAATTTTTAATTTCATTTCTAACTAAATAGAATTTGACAACACCTGTAAAATATTAAAAATTAGCCCAGTTTCATTATATAGCTTAAGAAAAAATGTGAAGAGAAGAGATAAAATCTTTCATATTATAATTAATACTTATCATAAAATACTTTAAGAAACTGCCTATCACTATTAATATTCATACATTGAAAAACTTTGCAGATTGGTTTGTATATAATGGTCAGGTAGCTGACCTTGTGTTCGAAAGTTCCTGAGTTCAAATTCCACTTTTGGCAAAGGTATAATTTCATTCTCTGTGTTTTATATCTGTCTTTCTTATGTTGTTGGTCTGAGGTTGATCCACCTATTTGATACCCACAGAAAAGAGAGAGATCCCCGTCAAGTACCACAATGGCTTATAGTTACCAAATGTGAAGAGCATTAAAGAAGAAATAAAACATTGAAAAACTTAATTTCTTTTTTCAATTTTTTCTAGTAAGATTTAATAATGAAAAAGTGTGTATGAAATAACCATTTATATATATTTAAAAAAAAAACAACAACTTAAAAGTGCTTACAGATTCAGTTTCCTTTTATATACTATTAAACTAATTTGTTGCTATATTCAACAGTATCTTCAGTGACATGCAAAGCCAATGAAAACCTGATAACGAGCTATTCTTGTTCTTCTACTGGAAGGGGCTAAAATATTAATAATTATTTGCATATTGCTAATTGTCCTGTTATTCTTCTTGTTAATTATTTACATACTAGTTCTATTATTCCACTTAAGTTACAAAAATTAAAGTTTATTAAGAATTAATCATTTAAATTCTGATCATAGAAAGCATGCCCTTATAGACAAAAGCAGGAAGATTTATCGTTATAGTCTTACGTTACAAACTCACAAACTTTAATATTTAATGAATATTAGTTATGATGTTGCATTAGCATAATTTTCTTCTGCTTCTTACACCTCTTCACTGCGTATAGAGGCTTTTATCTCTACCTGTTGAATTTCGATTTCTACTCGATCAAATAATTTTCGCAATCCAAAAGTATCAGAGTTATGTTTTATTGGTATTATATTCAATAATTGGCCTAAATGAGCATTTATTAGCAAGTTTTTCTGTCCAAACCGATCTTTCAACAAATTAAGGGCTGCTTTATAATTATCATCCGTTAAAGAAAACCCCAAAATTGCTTTTGAAGCTGTTCCTCCAACGAAACTTTTTAGATAGATTAGTTTTTCAGTATTTGAACGATACGGATTTTTATCAATAGATTTTTCGAACTGGCCGATAAATTCCAACCACGAATTTGGATCACCGAAATATTTATTCACAGTTAATTTCGGAAGCGTTATTGTACATTTATTTACTTCTGTTTGATTTACTGTCTGAAAGCTAGTTACACCATTTAAATTAGAACTAGTTCAGGGAGTGGCACTAATTTGTTGAATCTTCCGTTTAATTTTACATTTATAGTTAATCAAATATTCTACATATGTTTCAGAGGATTCAACTTCCTTTTCGATATCTTTAACATCTAGTTCTTTAATTAGCTCTTCATTTATTAATTTTATGTTCAACATTTTCTCATTTCATTGTTCTAATGACGTTTCTAATTCATACATTGTCATGTTATCAAAGTTTTAATCTAAGTTAGTGAGAAATTTAGTAGTAGAACTTTTCAAAGCTCTTCTTTTCTTTATAACTTTTTCTATATCCATGATAAATCCAAATATAATATTTCACAATCAAAATTTAACTTACCCCTTTTTCTGGCTCTCTCTTATTCACTAATTAAAAAATTTCGATTCTATGCTTATCTTCAGTGCATTGTCCTTCTCAATCCGATGCACCAGTTTGTCTTTCAACTTCAATTATTTTTATCGGGTTGATAATTACACAGAAGATTGGTTAAACTATTAGTGAATTTATCTCGTTTTCTTGAATTACAGGAAAACTACTCAAATACTAAATAACTAGCCAAAGGGGTAAGTAACAAAAAAGGGTATATTATCTTAACATGATGTATACAGGACAATGGGTACTACGACTACATTAAAAAGTGTAGATGTCTTCTTACAAAAATCTTTTGTGGCAGTTACGGTTACAATTGACAATTAATGATGCCATATAGTGGTGGTTCAACAAGTATATTTCCACAGCCCCTCTTTCCTTTATATTGGGATCTCCAGTCCAGAGTCTGTTCTTTGAATTTTTCCAGCTTTCTGATTTTGTGTCCAATCCATCGTCATTTGTGTAATCTGATTTCTATTTTTAGTGGATTTTGCTTACTGATTTAGAATAATCTATTGTTAGATGTTTTGTGAAACTGTTTTATATTAAGAATTTTTCTAATACATTTGTTGATAGAAGCCTGCAAATTATTTGTATTTGTTTTCAAGTTTATTATCATAATATGAGTATTTAAATATCTTAAATGAATTGAAATTTTGGATTTAATTAGAACATATGCTATAAAAAACAATATTATGGAAAACAATTATAAAGCATATTTAACTATTAAGTTATGTATATTCTATTTCAGACCAATAATCTATGTTTACTTCAACAATAAAAAAATATCATTTTGCAACTGTTTCTCCCCTCAGTTTAAAATTGTCTCCATATACTATATTATGAGGAAAATCAGTTTGTCCGACAGTAAAGGATGCTGTCTAAAATGCGGTTGACTAAGTACATCACAGCCGCTTTAACACTTGTCCAAGAAAGTTGAAATATCATATCTGTCCTTCTTTCAATTTTATGTGAACAATAATTTAAAATATGGGTTTATTTTCAGTTAATGTAAAATGAGTGTTTATTTTGAAGTTTTTTTACAACAATTACTTTGTTATAAATAATAAACAAAATATGCAAAACTTATTCATCACCAAGAGGATCTTGTCCTCTAAAAACTAAATGTATTAATCATAATAATAATAATAAATAAAAGATAAATGTAGTATATGAATGATTGACAAAAAGGGGGGGGGGAATAGATGCACTTAATACATATAGTTACAGAGAAAAAAAGTAACTTGACTAAAGCAGAACTTAAAGTAAAGCATAAATGAAGGTATGTATACAGAAATAGAGAACAAATTTCTGCTCACAGGGTTCCCACGGTCCTTGAAAGTCCTTGAATTATTTTTTGCTAAATTTAGGTCCTTGAAAGTGCTTGAAAAATGTCTTACTAGGTCCTTGAAAAACTTGATAGGTCCTTGATATTGTCCAATACTGCCGGCGGCCCTTTTTATAAAACACCCGCGGATCTTTCTCGTTATTTCTGTTTTGTTCCCGAGCTCTCTCACGTGGTTATTAACGCCACCGTTTCTAACCGGGCCTAGCGTCTTGGTGTCTGCCAAGCGCGCGGAGCACAGCAGACAATCAATGCGTTCGGGGCGAGACTCCACTTCATCTTCTGTCGCATATGCTTAGATCTTCTTTTTTCTTATCGAAACTGGAATACTCTCGAATTTCGTAACAATATGTACCTTGTAGTTTTCAATAAATTTGCCGTTTTACCATCCGCACTTGTCCTTACGTTTGCGTCATTTCAAAACTTTATTGTAAAGCGTATTCGCAAAGGCACGGCTTCGTATTTGTGTTATGTAGTTTAGACTAGTTATGCCTGGGAAGTGCTATTTTAATCCCCAATGGATGGATAATCAAGCTTATAAAGAATGGATTTTATCGATGCCCGAAAAGAAGTTCAGAGCCAAGTGCCGATTATGCATGAAGGAGATCGATATCGCGAAAATGGAAGAATCTGCTCTGAAATCACACATGAAAGAAAGGTAAAACAAAAAAGCAGTCTCATGCCCTGAGTTCTCTTTTTCCAAAGACATCAACATCTAATTCATCTGGTGTAAATACTCCTTCAACATCGTGTGCCCCATGTGAAACAGAAACTTTAGTGGCCGAGGTAACATTGTCTTCTTATCTGGTCAAAAGGAATGTGCTTGATGCTGAAATTCTCTGGAGTCTGAAGTGCATCACTAGTAATTATTCATGTAACTCCTGTGAAGGGATTAGTAAATTGTTCTCCAAAATGTTTGCTGATAGCTGTATAGCGAGACAATTTTTTTGTAGTGCCACAAAGTGAGCCTATTTGGGCTCCTTTGGATTGGCACTATACTTCAAAGGGATTCTTATAAATGAGCTGAAGAATGTTGATTGCTACACTGTACTCTTTGATGAGACGTTAAATCAGTCTCTACAATCTAAGCAGATGGACATTATGGTAAGGAATTGATAATAAAGTTTGCACTAAGTATCTTACCTCCCAATTTATGGGTCATGGAACTGCAGAAAATATTTTGTCCTCTTTTTACAAATGCATGGATGATGGTTAAAAGCTCTCTAAAATACTTCAATTATCCATGGATGGACCCTATGTCAATTGGAAATTCTATTAGAAGCTTCAGTGTGAATTAAAAGAGAAATATTCCCACCAGGTCATATTCATTGGCAGTTGTGGATTACACATAACGAATAATGCTTTTAAACATGGTGAAAATGGGATATGTTCCTTCTAATTTTTATTTTCAGAAAGAATTGTTGCTGCATAACATTTAGAGAAGGTTGTGTAAATTATGGATGAATAATTTCAGAAACGATGTTTAATAGAGGAGAGGAGGGGGTTATGGAATAGTCATGGAATATGGAATACCTAAGATTTAGCTCTGTCTTTCATGCAGCCTTCACATGGAAATACACAGGATTAAAGGATTTCACCATTAACACCTCATTACCATTAGTTATAGATTGTGCTGAAAATGATTTTGTGAATTAATATGTAAAACCAGTAGGGTTGTTTTTAAAAAAATATAAATTTTAGTCCATAATACATATACTCTCTTCTCTCTATATAGGCAAAGCATTTAGGTATTATATTTGAAATTAATTATTGCCACAACAAGCATTGTTGCTTCTAGTAAAATAGAAGAGAATAATTTTTAAAATTGGTCTTAGATTAAGGTCCTTGAAAATTTTGTTGAGGTCCTTGAAAAGTCCTGGAAAGTCCTTGAATTTCAATCTCATCATAGAGTGGGAACCCTGGCTCATTACTTTGTGCTTTATTCACATGCTTTATAAGTTTCGGAACTTTATGACTAATTTCAGTAAGTTTTATTTTAAAATAAAAAAAAGTTTAGTGCAATTTTTTTTGTTTCTTTTTTTTAATTTAATTTCTAAAACTTATATAGAGGGCATTTTTTTATTCATTCGAATGTAAAATAGTGTATAATTTGAATTATGTTTTCATTAAAAAAAAAAGAAATTTAACTCACATTTTATTTTGAGCTTATTGAGAATGTGTGTTTATTTCTGTCTTAATCTAAAATTCAATATATTATTTTCAGTGTAAAATAGGTTTAAATTATTGAAGTCTTATACCTGTTTCATACCTTTGTCTTTGTATATAAAAGAGATTGAAATTATTTTTAATTTATACATAACAAAATTACTTACATTTAAATAAAAGTTGTGTTAGTTTTTGACAATTGTGGAAAGACCTTTTGTTTTGTTATAGTTAAATTGATAATATGTATATTTTATTATATTTAATCTGTCTCTTTATTATGCATCTAAAATAACAATTTTCAAATGGTGTCTCTCACTCACAATAATAAAAATTTCTTTTCATCTCAGTGTATAACAAACTCATATGTTTGTTCTACAAGTAAACTGCAATTTTAAAAATCAAATTTTTTTTCTCCAGCTTATACACCTGCTGGTTCCACCTGCAATGAAGATATTAAGAAAGCATCTCAAAACTGTAATTCTGAAGATTTTCCTATTTTTGATAGAACTGCAGTAAACAATCAGTCTGAAATGAGTTGTGATGAGAATAAGGAACAGAATGAAGTGATGGTTGAGTTAGCTAAAAAATCATTTTCTGAAGAAACATTTGAAAGGAAATCAATCATTGTTAACAATTGCCTAAAATCAGAAAGGACAGAATCTCAAGATGCTATGTCAGAAAATGCTTCTCTCGAAACTTCTGCTAAAACTGAAAGTTGTGAGCATGCTTTAATGGAAGGAAAGTCTGAACAAATGAACACTCAGCAACAAAATAGAGTTGAATCTATTCTCCGTTCACTGTTGTTAGAAAGGACAAGTGATGGGAGTACAAGTTCATCTCAGGTATCAATATAAATTTTTTTCATTCCCTGAGTATTTTCATTATTTAAACTTGGTAAATATTAGGAGTTGGTTTATTATGGTAAAAGGTATTGTTTTGAATATTAATTTATTGTTTTCTGTTACTTTTTTATGAACTGCCTAAAAAAAAACTCTTGGTGCTTTCTTAAATGTGTAAAAATTAAATTACAATTGTACAAAACTGCAGATTTTTAAAAAAAAATAATGTTATTAAATTATATTAATTAATTGTTGAAATTTATATTGATTATTATGGTCTGTTTGAATGCATGTCTGTTTTTATGTATTTTGACATTAATTTTTTAACTCATTAATTGTTGAAATGAAAGTTAGTGAAAAACCACACATTTTAGAAGGATTTATTGCCATAAAAATCAATCATTATAAATAAAATAAATTATGACTAATAAATGGATAATATAAATTTAGTATCCCTCTGATTCACTCAACTTGCCAACTTTCATATTTTCTGAGGGTGATTTTACAAAGTGATAAATGAAATAATAATTGAATTACATTTTTCAAAAAATATTTTTTTTAATTCTTTATTTTGCTGAAGTTTTAAAACACACTATTGTATGATTATAATACATTTATATACACATATAATTTATTTACATGTAATGACTTTTGCAAACTTCATATTAAATTAAATTTGTATATTCAAGAAATGAATAAAAAAGCAAACATTTTGTTACCCCTTTAAATAAAAAATTTTACTAAAATTGTATAAAAAAAAGTTGCCATGCTCTTATTAAAAGTTTAAACTTGGTGTAAATTATTATTATATGGCATTAAATTGGATACTTTTCACTAAAAAGCATCATTTAAACCAAAAAAAAAATTTTTTCTTTTTTAATAAATTAGTTGTACTATGCAAAATAGTTGTAGCTGGGTACCTTAATTCTTTTTCAAATGTATCCTTATAATTTTTTTTTAAATGTTTCCTAATAATTTTTTTTAAATACTTCAATCTCATGCCTGTCTATAACTCAAAATTTTTGCCTCCTTAAAGCCATCTACTTCTTCTGGTTTATCTAAAGACTCAAAAGCCAGGATTCATGAAGATGTTAGGCAATTGTTGCTAAGCCAAGGAAAGCAAGATTCCTTTTTAGCTGATCCTGAGATTCTTGATCCTCAAACTTTGTCAGATGAAGTTCAATCAACTTATGAGGATTTAAAAATGGCTCTAGGTACACTAACTTAATTGATTTATTTAGAAAATGTCTGATCATGACATTAAAACTTAATTTTTCTAAATTGATTTGTGATGGAAACATAAATTCTTAATTAGAATATCCTGTAAAATATTTTCTTTAAAATAAAAATGTTTTCTGTCATTTTTTTTTTCAAGTTATAGTTTTTATATAAAACTGGCAAAATCAAATCTTTAGATGCTTTCGCCTTACTATAATTTTAGTTGATGAAAAAGGAGTTGCATAAATTATATTTAGCAAAACAGTACCTACTATATATTACCCATCATGCCTAATTGGAGGCCTCTATCTTAAACTAATTGTGGCTTTCCATGTCTTGCCAGTTCATTGAGTTGTTTTTCAATCTTTTTCTGTTTCCTCGAGGATTCAAACCAAAAACTTGTATTTCAACAACATTACCGATCCATATGGGTCTTTAATTTCAAGCTCAATTGATTTCTGCTTCACAAGCAGAATAGTAATGAATCTTGGATTTTAGATAAAAAAAAATTTTTCTCCCTCTTATAAATGTTTGATAAAAGTGTATTCCTCATAAGATAACACAATATCTTTAAAGGTGGGAAATAAAAGCTTTGGTTTATTACTTCACTCTATAGTGAGACCTTTGTCATGACTCTCAATCTCACCCTGTTGGTGGCCTCTCCATGTTTCTAGATTGTGAAAAAAACGATTGATATTGTTTTAAACTTTAACTGAGTTTATAAAAAAAATGAATTTCATTTGTGTCTAGTAATTTTGGATATCTATACAATTTTTAAAAACTTACATTTATTTTTTGCTTAAACTTTTTTAATGTAAACAGCCTGAACATAAAGATGTATTTAAAAGATTTAAAAACAGACAAAGGTATTATACTAAACTACCTTTTTTAATGTGGTGATTGCAGAATTGTATTTGTTAGAATAAATCTATTAAAATTCTAAAATATTGTGCACAGTATCTCTGTTATTGAGGACAATATTAAACTTTACATTTTCTGAAAGATACTGCAGAGAAGATTTAATACCAGTAAAAATTAAGCATCAGTGTTAGAAAGTATGTCTGATACCCCACCTCCTTCTTTTGACATCTAAGTTTGGTAATACTTTTAAAATCTTTAATTTTTTAGAAATTATTTTAATTACTAAATTTTATTTTTCAATGTCCTATGATTGATGTCAACATAATTTGATCACTGTTTTTTCTAGAATAATGATGATATTTTATACCCACCCTGTATATACAGTAACATAAAATTAGTATTATTTTTGTCATTCTTCTCAACGGAAAACATGTTTTTGCAATTAGGTACTTTATAATATTGTTTTTTTTTTCAGACCAGTTGCCAGACATTAATACCAATCTGTTGTCCGATACAGAAGATTGGGTTTATGATTCCAAAATATTCAAGGATAAGCTTGAAAGGTTGAAACATGAAATCATGTATTTGCAATGTGTGGCATATCAAAAGGAGAAAGAACGCCTTGGCATGATTTGTTTAAAGAGGTGAGTTTAAACTAAGTGATTTTTATTGATATATTTTTATGTTTAGTTTTGCCCTTTTAAATTAATTGGAGATTGTGAATAATTTATTTTCTAAGTGGTGCAAATTCATTATTTTTTAGTTCTAAACATGTAATTTTAAAAATTTTTTTGACTTTTCGATAATTAACAGTTCATCTATTTATGCATAAACTTCATTTGTTTATAAATAATTCATTACAAAAAGATAATATAGTTATAAAATATCTTAATTTTTTTTGGATTAACACCACTTTTTAAATAAGCAGCTCATATATTTATGCTGAACAGAGGAAATAGTTTGTTTTAGTATTTTATCAATCATGCATTTATCAAAAAAAAAAAAAAATTTTTGAATTTAGGATGTTCATTGCTTTGTTAGCAGAGAAAAATTTACTTTACTTAATTATTCTTTGCTATTTTTGTTTACTGTAAAATTGAATAAAATTAATCAATGAAAAAATTCTAATAGGGAACCCCTTGAAAAACCAGCAATTCTGAAAGAAAATGACTTTTTGACAACATCTTGGGAAAAATTGTGCTATTTGGTGCAAAACCTGGAAAATTGTATAAAGAGCCTAGAAAACAACCTCTTTCCTAAGTATGTTATGTTATTGTTAAAAAATAGTATTTAGAGCAATATAAGATGAATTAGGTGAATTTTTTATTAGTATAGTCATATGTGCATTTTTTTTTCTCCCTCTCTTCTTAATTATGAAAAATCTGATTCATGATTATCATGGAATGATTTAAAACATATAAATAAGTCTTTAAAATGGTTTAGAATATGTGTTTCTAATTTATGAATATCTTTGAAAAAAAATTAGATGAATTGATTTTTTTAAAAAATTTATTTACATATTATTTACTTTTTAAAATTATTCTAAAAATTAAAATATTGTAACAAAGAGAAGAAAAAAAGTGTTGATGAAAGAAAATGTTTGTAACAGTTCACAGGCCAGTGTTTTTAGCTTTTTTTACAATAATTCTTTTTGTTGATCTTTTTTATATTGACATTTTATACAAACACCAAATAAACATAAAAAATGCTTTGTTAAACCCTATGCTGTGTAAAAGGCATCCAACTCTTAATAATATAATCAGTATATACCTTCTTACTTTCTGTATGGACAAATTTAGAATTAAATTTTAAATGCTTTACAACTTGTGTGAATTACTTCTGTGATTTAATTAGTAACCAAATAAAATGTTTCGAAACATCCAAATCTCTTAATTATTATTGCTGAAAAATTTTACCTAATTTCTCTTTTAATTAAATTTTATTAAAGAAAAAAAAATTTTCATTGTAGGAAATGAAGCATCTTTAAAGTTCAATAAAAGACAGAAATAAAAAAAAATGCTTTGAGGTAGAAGTGTACAACCTTTTCGTGTGAAGGGCCACTTGCACAGCAGGTTGACTAATGAAGGGCCGCACACATATTTGTTGTTGTTGCTAATTCCCATCTATAAATCCGTTGACATTAAGGAAGTCCGAAACTAAAAGGGGGGAGGAATGAGTATCGTTCAGTCCAGCCCTAAACAGTTCCAGGTGATGCCTGGTTTTGTTGGCATTTCGGGCAAAGAGGAAAGATCTTTCGATTAGCAGAAAATGCGAGACTTTTCAGGTGTTCACTGGTCAGTCGAGATAAGCAAGTGTTGGTCTGCCCGTCACCAGGAAGAGATAGAGAGAGTCCTGGTCTTTTTGCCTTATACCAGTAGTGAGTAGGTGGAAGCAGCCACTTTTGTTAGTTCTGGGCCTTTTGCCTTGCGAAAAGTTCAAGGTATGTAAGCTCTGAGGTGGAGGGGACTGTATGGTCTAGTCCCTTTTTTGCAAGAGTGTCAGCCAACTCATTTCCGTGGATATTGACGTGGGACGGGGTCCATTGAAAGTGGACCTCATGCTGCTGGGAAATGAGCTTTACTTTTTGTAAGATCGAAAAACTGGTTTTATCTCCAATGAGTGCCCAATTTTTGAGGTGTTGAATTGAACTACGGCTGTCAGATAATATCCAAGTATTTCCAAGGTGCCCTTCACTCAAGATTTTCTCTAGTCCCCTGTCGATTGCAATTAGTTCCCTTCGAAAAACGGAACAAAAATCGGGGTTTCGTTGATGAACAGTGTAGTTCTATCAAGGTGTTTCAATAAACACTCCACTGCCAGTCTGTCTATCCATTTTACTGCCATCAGAGTATATTTTGATGTCGTTTGGAGGGATTTTATTGATGATTTCCAGGGACAATTATCTGAGGAAGTCAGGCACACAGTCTTTCTTATCAAGCATGGTAGGGAGGCTTTCATGGAAACTAACATTGGGAAGATCCAAGCAAGTACTGAGATTGCAATGAAGATAAAGAGGTTCAATATTTTCAGCGATTAACAGTTGTGATTTAACATGACTAAATGGACTGTTTTTCATTAGCCTTTGATTGCAGGTCCAATTATTTAGGTAAATAGCAGTTAAATTGCCTTGGTCTAAACTGGAAAGTTTATTGAAATATTTCACTAAATTAGCTTACCTTCAATTTGTTTAAGTTAGATTGAGAAACACAGCAGTAGACAGGATAGCCATATTTTAGAATTGGTCTAACAAGAGCCTGGTAGGAAGTCCTAAGAGTAGTTGCATCTGCTCCCCAATCTCTACCAGTGATACACTTAATAATATTTAGGCGCTTCCTAGCCTTCGAGACAATATAATCAATATGTTAGTTACTTGTAAATTCGGGATCGAGAATGTATCCCAGATATTTTGGGTGTTTCTTGTAGGAGAGCTTCTGGTGTTTGAGAATAAAGGATGGTTCATATTTATAAAGTCGCTTATTAGTAGTGAAGAAGGTGGTTATCGATTTGGTTGGGTTGAAACTTAATTTGAGTTCATCTGCGTACTTGGATAGGGCTTCTAATGAGTTGTTGACTCTCGACTCAATCTCGGCAACATGCACACGTATTTAGACATGTTAACTGTAAATGTACTAATATTTATTTAAACATTAGTGTTCTAATTTTTTTTTATCAATAAACTTAGCAATATATTTGTAGAAAATTAAAGGCGTTCAATTATTAGAATTCATTTAAAAATAAAAAGACAAATACTTTTTATAAAAAAAAAAATTTCCATTTTTATCATATCAAAAATAGATTTATCGAAAAAATAAACAAGATTTTTTTTATCATATCACGCAATATAAAAATTCATTTTAAAAATAAATTCTAATAAAAAAAACTGCAATGCTCACAGAATGAAAGTAGGAAAAATTTAGTATACATAATTAAGTAATATTAATTCAAATTAAATATTTTAATTGAAGACAATTTAAAGTTTTAAATAAAAGCCTAAAATAAAAACAAAACTGTTATACGTAGTTCAAAATAAAATTCAATACTTATTTGGCAATGTACTTTATTATTTCTTTTTATTGATTATTAGATTTTTTTTATATAGTAAACGTTTTCTTTTCTTCTATCGAAAAAGATCACTTAAGCAACAAAAAATTGAAATCAAAACTACAAACAGTGTGCAGTTTATACATTCACGTCTTCCACCATTTTATGAATTTCCAGGTTGCAATAGCATTGCATTTAAATTTGGGATGTAACAAGTATTTTGCCCTTTTGTCAAAAATTCAGTAGGTAGAATAATCGACCAAGTATTCGGCAGAATATTTTTTATAAAAGTATTTTTCTAAGTTTTTTTTTGGAATTTGTACAGATATGATAAAGAATGATATAAAATCGTATTTTCAACTGTATTATAGTATCGTTTATTATAAGAAATAGTTTTTACACAAATTTCTTAAATTTAAAAATCCATGTTTCTGCACATGACTTGCAAATTTATCTTCTAGAAGACAAATTGAAAAACGAAATTTGAAGTAATGAAACTTGATTACTTAATACTGAACAAGAAGTTTTTGCACTTCTGCTTTTTTTTTTTTTTTTTTTTAATTATATTCAGACAAGTCAATTTTGTCATTTTTTCCATACTTATAGTTCTAAGAATTCAGAAGGATTTTTTGAAAAATTTTGTTATTTTTATTATAACGAAGCATTTTAACAGAAGGTCTCGTACTATTAATTTATCATCACTTTTTCCCTGTACTGTAATATAAATAACCAGTAACATAGAAAACTTTGATTTTTAGTGTTAAAGTTTTGTTTTCAGAGCCAAGAATAATTTGTTTTCAGAACCAAGAACAATTTGTTTTTTTTTCTGTTTTTCTTTTTAATTAACTTTTCTTTTTATAGGCATTTAATTTTATTAGGACTAGGACTGGGCGATATAAGAAATTTTATATCGTGATGCATCGTCAGTTTTGCATCGCGATATAGTATTTTTGAATTTCATTTACTTGTAAGGCACAGAAAGTCGGATTTCTATCAAAACTTCATACTCAGATTGATTTAAATCAATTTATAAATTTGAGGATGTGTATGTTTTGCTTAAGAAAGATATTAATGTTATATTTTCTAACAATGATCACGCAAGTAACGAAGGATTTCTTAGTTTCAAAATAAATAATAAAAAAATAAATAAAATTGAAATTTATCAATATATTTACCTAACAATATAGAAAGAAAATTTAAAAAATAAGTTCGTTAAAAATTATTTGTATGCTTAAAACAAAGTGCTAAATAAGTTTAAAAAAAAATGCTTTTAAAACAACTCTATTTTTTATCATTATTATTTCACAGAAATAATTAAGTTAAATTGAATAATTACAGAATTCTGAACGAAAAGACAAAGTAAGGTTTAACTTCTTAAAAATAAAAACAAAAGAATTATGATATTCGATAGTATATTTAACTGACAATATTGAAAGAAAATTGAAAAACACGATTATACTCTTTAATAAAACAAAGTGCTAAATTATTTAAAAAATAAAAAAATAAAGAATAAAAAAGTCGCAAACCTTACTAATATTTTGAAATAAGCAAAGTTAATAGGCTATGTCCAAATCCAAAAGAGGAAAAACACGTTTTGTTATAATTTTATTTATAAAAATAAAAACAACTAAGGATTTATAAATTTAAAATCAGTAATAAAAACCCATTAAATTATTGGAAGTTTTATCCAAAAAGTTCTTCATAAATTAAAAGAAAGTAAGAAATAGCCCTACAAATTTAATTACTTTGTAATTTAATTTTTTATGGGCACCTGAAACTAGATTTCCGATTGTAATAAATTCAATAATGTAAAAAATTACTTAAACATATAATATCAAAATTAATTTTCACATTTAAAAATAAAAAAAAAAGTTTTGTTTTTAAATAAAATTTACCTAATTAATTAAGAAACACTTCTTTATATATTCTTTTCAATAATAGATTACGTGCAGAACAAGGTAACGAAGGCGATCACAAAGTCAGTCCCACTGAAAATAATCTACAAGAAACGATATCAAGTCGCGACAAAGAAAGAAAAAAACTATGAGGCGCGAAAACGAACATGCGAGATCACTATATATATTCTCAAAACTATGGTTCTGATTCTACCACTCATCAATCAAGGCCATTTCAACATAACGAATCGAACATAGTCTTCCACAGCGCGAGTCGGTATCAGTTGCGAGAAGATCCTTTCGCGTCTTATATCGATATCGTTT